AGTTAAAACTGTCGCCAGACTTGCACTTCCGCCCTAAATACGCGTCTGAAGTACGAGATCCGGTTCTTACGTGACAGCTATACGTACGAGGTCGCCCGTGGTAGAATGCGATTTAGTTTTCGAAAGTAGGTATACGGTCGCCGCGAGTAGGTGATATCTACTGGCACGTGTTCACTTATCTGACAAACGACGGCAGCTGCCACTCAATGTCATTCTAAAAAAAAATACTTCTCTTAATTCCCGCAATAAACGGCGAATCGAAATTTTATGTCTCATCTTTACGCCGTAAAGTTTTTAAAATTCTTCCCACATAATACTGAAATAAGAATAATATATCTGTATCTAGAATAATATATCTGTATCTAAGAATAATATATCTAATATACCTTAGAGGTAGAGAATCAGTTTTTATCAAAATTGGAGTTAATACTTTTTCCAATAGTTTATCCAGGTGTAATTGTTTGTCTAATAGTAATCAGGAGTTTAAATTGTACAATAAAGGGTCTTATTACTGTCCATTATTACTAGTTTCTAAGATACAATGTTTAGAAAAAGTATTGGAAATTTTTAATTATAGAGATATTAAATCCTGTTTCCTCTAAATTTCTAATAATACCATTCTTTACCTCTAAAGTATATACATATATATATATTACCAAAATCATAAACACAAGTTTGTGATAAAGTGATCATCGGGAATAAATGATTGAAATTATTTAATGGGCGTTTTCGAAAGAGATGGTTTTGAAAACATTTTTCGCGTCTCTATTTAAAATAATTAATTAGAATTATTTTTAAAAATTAATTAAAATTGTTTATTTAAAAAAAATTTTTTTCCGTATCTATTTATTTAAGAAAAAAAAAAAGGAAATAATGCGTGTCAGCTGTATATAGAGCTGTTGTTTATATGGCACTGTTATGCAGGCTACATTCGCCTTGGAGGTCGCAAAGATTAGCTCTCCGCGTGAGAAACTGTATTCTATGCGCGGCCATAAATAGCCGACGATATAAAACGGCACCATTGCTCGCCGTATCATAACACGCACCATAAAATTAGATATCTGCTTCATTAATGATGCGCGCCGAAAGGTCAGAGGGAGCAGTTTGAACCCCCTTCAGAAATGTCAATTTGCGTTGTACCGGTGTCGCTCTCCGGAGCTAATATATCGTGTAACCGTGGACCTTCCTTTGCGAGGCCGTCACTTCATCTTCTTTTAACTATAATGATTCTAACAACGTGGCAGCATAAAAATTCTCGAATAAAAATACAACAGCGTGACGACGTTCTCCGACAAGCCGATAGAAAAAATTTGATAAAACGCGGTCCGCGGGGAAAAAAAAAGAAGTGCCGTTCCCTCAAAATTATCAGGATCGCTTCTTCCGTTCCTCTATTTTTTTCTCAGGTAGTGCTTCTCGGTAGGGCGTTTTTCTACGACGCTGCGATTTTTATCCCGCGCTTCCATGAACGACAAGCTCGAGCTCGGCTCACGGAGCCGCGACGACGTTCCAGGAAATAACGCCTGGCCGTCCATCGGCGCGCCAATCCGTCCGTCCGCCAAACCGTCGACGTAATCGCCGGCTTCTTATCGGCGCCGCCGGGTATTTTTTTTTTCGTGCCCGGCGTCACGTTTGCCTTCCCCCGAACGTGCCGCAACGGTCGCACGGGCGCACGCACGACGCACCGGGTCGCACGCACCGCACGCCGCATCGTCCGTATCGCACGTTTCACGTTTCCCACGAAACGCGCGGAGCGCGGGCCCTCCCGGCCCTCGCGCCGCGTGATAACGTGCGGTCGATAACGGATCGGGCGGAAACGTGAGAGTTTCCGATACAGATCGCTCACGTTTACCGGTCGCTCGTCTCGCTCCTGATTCCCGTCGCGGCGTTTCGGACTCCGGAATTCCAAGCGGCGCGACGGCGGCCGGATCACGCACGAACGTGACCGTTCCCGCGACTGCGTTCTTCTTCCCTCGCGGATCGGTCAATTGTATCAATCACGTTGGGAACCGGCCGGCACGTACGTCGAGTACGTTGACATGTGCGCGGACGGGAGAGACGTTGATACGCCCAGCCGGCCCAGCCGCCGACAGCACGTGCGATTCGGTTTCGCGAGACCGAAGTGTCCATCCGCGAATTCTTTATATATTTGCGAATTACCGATCTCTGAATCACAGCCTTGATGTCATGCATGATTAATCACACGAGAGCGATCACTCCCATATCACTATCTTAAAAACGAGATCTTTCACCTGATCAGAATAAGATCGTTATATTGTTAGATTGTTATCAAAGTTATATGTAAATATTAAATTAATAATATACCGATTTATTAAGCAACACTAGCTCCTCTTTGGTTTTTTCCTTCCTGTTAACGTGGTTCCGTATTAACAATTTTTATTTTACAATGTGTCTAAAAGTGGTCGTTTAACTTAATTATTAATTAAAATAAGACGTCTATGAAACGTCTCAAAGACGTCATAAATCGAGCCATAAAACGTCATAACGACGTCTTTCTCAGTTTTATTAGACGTCTTATAAAAGTCTTATTTAAGACGTCATGTTCTCCGGGGTGGAACGAAATGTCATCCGCAAATCCTTAAATTACCGATTACTGAATAACATTCTCAGTCATGCATGATTAAGATCAAGAACGATCACTCTCGTGTCATTGTCTTAAAAATCTCTCACGTGAAATCTCTCTGCATATTATATTGATATAAAATCGCTTCTTTATTCCTGTTACAAAAATTGTCAGCAATGAGAAAAGCGACACTGGAGATTAAGTTGTGAAATACGATAGATAGCGCATATCATTGCGTTTTAAAGCCCACTCGCCTTAACTGAACCGGCTATCTGCGGAGGAGATAAAAGACCACCCGATCTTGCATGACAGATCCGCGTATTCCGGTATTGCATGGATTATGGGTTAACGTATCAAAGTTTGCGTAATCTAAATATAAACAGATAAAATCTACTTTCAGTCAGTCTCGAGTAACCTTAACAGACTCTTAACAGTGGTTTGGTGTCAAGATTGAAAAGTTGTAGCAGGTAAAATAATTTTCAGTCAAATCCGATCTTGTAAGAAAATCGACTTCGAATTGAAAATCGCGCAGTTACAATTCTCTTTTGTTATTATAAAAACTGACGCCCACCGTACGCCGGAAATGAGATAAAAGTTGTTTAGTTTAACCAGATATATAACCCCTGACACTACAACTATACGTCTTGCGACGTACTTGCGTAGTTTCCTCCACTTCTCTTCTCTCCTTACCGACTACTGTCTATTTCTGCCAATGTAAATTAACTTTAATCTCGGTTTAACTTGCTTTTTAATCTTTTTCTAATTCTTAGAACTAGGAGAAGATAAAAAGTGAATTAAACCGAGATTAGAGTTAATCTGCATTGGTAAAAATTGATATGTACATCATTTATATACATGAAAATAAAAGTTTAAAAAAATCCAAACCAGGCATTAAAATTGTTAAAAGTAAACAAAAAAAAAGAACAATAATTATATCTTACGGTAAGTGATTCAATGACTTTTAAATTGATAATATACGTCTGGTAGACGGTACACGTGTTTCTCAATCATTAAAAATAAAAGTTATAGCGTCAGGATTAAGTTTATCGCCACTTTCTGGTATTTCCTTGCATATACGAGTATACAAATTGTATCAACAGTTAAATCCTATCTCCAGGCAATTTTACAGTAATATTGTAAAATTCTTGTAATATAACTGGACTGTTACAATATTACTCCGATATTAGAATATTCTGTGTTAGCCAGAATAGATATAAAGTACATTTATATTTACATATATAAGCATAAATCATAAGCGTTTTAGCATTGTTAATTTAGGCGCCACGATACAACAATCTGAAAAGAAAAAGAATTAATAAAATATATTGTGATTGACCTATAACAGTTTGATTTTTCATACAATCACGCGTGCACACGCATACACAATTTTCATAAAAACTCGCACACGTTTCTCCGATAAACTTATACATTCTTTTCAGCGTTTACCATTTTTCCATGCGCTCGCGAAAATGTGATATATCATTCTCGTTCGACGCACGAAAGATTTATTTTTGCCTCGCGCGATAAGCCCCGCCAGGCCAGGCGGGTTAAAGAGATTCTGCGCAACTTTCGCATATATCTCGCACGACGGCGAAAAGAATTCGCGGGTGTTGTGACAGCGCGGCGCGGAATAGTCGGCCGATCATCCGGCTTTGTTTACGTCTCGCTCCCAACGTGACGGCCGGGGGACCGCCGCTATCATCACGAGAAAACCGGTTCGCCGTTGGATTTAATCGGTTTCGATATCAGCTGCCGCTGGGGGAGTTCAAGAAGGCGACTCGCGATTAACTTGTAGCCGGTCACTCCGCCAAGCCGTTCGTAGCCAGTTAAACGAGGCTCCACCGAGCGTTTTTTCTCTTCCATTCTTTTAAGTCTCTCGTGCGCGCACGTGACGCGCGATAAGAAGACGCCTCTGTTACGAGCGGTCGAAGAACGCTCCTATTACGCCGCGTGATATTACTGATATTCTCCTTTCAATTAGAACAGTTTTGTCTCGCGTCACTTTTATCTTCCTATTCTTTCTCGCGAGAGAGATTCTCACATGGTCGAATTATCGCGATGTTTAAGATTGTACAGACACGAGAACGAAGTACGAGCTATTCTTGCGAATTTTAACAAAGCAGATTATAACAGCGTGAAGAAAAAGAACGAGTAATAAAATTAAGAATATAAAAGAAGGAATGAGCTTCGCTTTTTGGACGATCTATAGTTTAGGTCAGAATTCAGGCTAAAATTCTATTTATAATTTTATATGCGCTATGTACAACATTTAAAGAGAAATAAAATATATATTAAAATGCATATAGGTATAAATACATTCAAACGGATGGCATGTAAAATTATAGAGAACTCTATCATGAAATCTAAAGCGAATTATAAATTATATAAAATGGGCTTACACAAGAATAACACAATGTGATTGTAAATATAAAGTTACTTTATGTGATGTGCATGTATCTAGTTTATCAAAAGTAAATAATGGCGAGTGATGTGTCCCAATGGAATTTTGATTTTGGGATTAACCGATTTCAAACGTTCTCTCCTTTTCTTTCTCTCTTGATAATATATTTAATATTAGGAAGAGGAAACAGAGAGGAAACAGCAAACGATAGCGATGGTTCGCATTCGCTTTCGTAATAAATGTACAGTTTTTATTCTTGAGCTATCGTTCAATGTATCCAATATAATCATTTGTTAACTTACTAAATACAAGTATTTTTATTCCTCACGTGTTTCTTACGCCCATGCTATTTTACGGCACAAAACGAATTGTACTTCTGTACATACTGTGAGTTACATTATCATCTCAGTAATGTATGAAAGTGGAACGAAATTTGTTTAATCATTATGAATGGAATATAATTAATATATTAAATAGGACCGAAGGAAGTTGATTGCGCGCTTCTCATTTTAAATTTCCAATATATAAAATTATATAATTACAAATCCGATTAATCTCTTTTTTTCATCAAACTTTTGTATAACAAGATTCAGCATCTTTTTGATCACACGTTAAACTTGAAACAAATCCTAATCATATTCATAATTTTATCTATGTTAAAAATTTACAATTTAATCCCACACAATACTCACTAATTGTCGTCGAATTGTAAGATTGTGATTAAGATAGCTCCCGATAAAAATAATAAGTGCAATTTCAATGTAAAACAATCAGCGCCCACCTGTGATGGCTTAAAATTGGTGACATGTGCAACAAGGATTCAGAATTAATGAAAGACAACTGCTTCAGAGTCAAAAAAGTACGTCGATTTTTTAAATTAGCCCTCATAGGCGATAGCACAAAATCCTTTTGGAATTGCGAATGGATGTCCAATGCAAAACGAGAATGTTTTTAATATCTCGTGGCTGATACTTGCCCCATACACAAAGTATCGTAAACATTCAGAATTTTCGTTTTGTCAATGGCGTTCAGTCGCGATCCCCTCTCTCCTCAGCTCGTTCTTCCGCCCTAGCTTTCATCCTCGTGATGAACGCTTGACCTTTGTTCTTTCGGAAGGTCTCGTACGGATCGTTCAGATTGATACCGACTCCTTTGTATTGATCGTTCTTATCACGAATCTCGCCTCCAGAAATGGGCGCCTCGATGCCCTGCTCGTTCGCACCGAGACCAGCACCACTCCAGCCCATTTTCTTGAGTAATTGATGCCCTTTATTACTCTCGTCCAGACTAATCTCTTGTGGAGCTTTACTGTAAGTGGAGCCACTGAAATATAATGTAAAACAAAATTTTTTGTAATAACACAATTATTTATATAGAGAGTCGATGGATAAGATAAAGATATACAAAAGAAACATTCAAAGACAATTACATTTTATTATAGTTTAAAAGAAAAAAATTTTAAAAAGTTAGTGAGAACGCGTAGCTTTGAATGAGAGCGATCGACTTGTAATCAGAATCCCAAATCCGATCCTTGACCTTCATCTCATATATACTTTAGTTTTGTAAGAGGTTGATTGGGGAGTTGAATATTATGAGTACAGGAATTACGAGATTAAATGATAATTCACATAATTAATCAATGATAATTCACATCATATTTATATTCATATATCATATTTCTATATCTTTACAAACGTTATTACTTACAGAAAACTAGGAGGAGTTGGACTTCTATCCTGTCTATCCAATCTTCTATCGGGACTACGATCTTTATTACTATTCCTTCTCCTTCGGCTCCTATTAACGTGATTGCTGTTGCGACTATTGCGTCTGTGATTAGTTGCGGGCGATCTCGATCTACTTCTGCCTCGCGATCGCGATCGTGATCTGCTGCGCGATTTGCTCCGGTAGCGTTTCTTTGGCGGACTAGGACTTTTAGATCTCGGCCGTAAAATCGGCGATGGAGATTTAGACCTCTGCCTAATACCAGCCATTATATCCTCTTCTTTACGCTTGCGGGCGCCATTTTTCGCTTTGTAGTACTCATACAATCCTAATTTCTCCCAACCATCACTGCAAATATAATTGAAATTGTTGTTTATAGAACAAGTATGTAGAAAAAAAGTAATTTCTATATTTTTATATGTATCTTTTCAATACATTCTTTTTTATAACTTATATATGCATATTATATATCATTTCCATATTTACCTATCTCTAGGAGAATCATGATTTGGTGGTGCATAAAATGCTTCGACAGCTGCAACTAAACGATCACTCGGTGGGGCTGGTGGTGGAAGTCTTATCGCGTCTGGATCCAATGGCTTGTATTCACCATCTTCTAACTTTATTAGAGGTACCATCAAACCAGCTGGAAGCTCAAAATAAGGCATGCTAGGCATCAAATCCTCCACTGAAGGTTCATGGATGACAGGCGGCGGTCCAAAACCCGGTGGTGGCTTTGAGAAGTCCGGTAAAGGGACATTGCTAAACGGCGGAGGTTCGTTTGAGGGAGGGACATTCCATCCTGGTGGTGGTTGACTGAAATTCACATCTGTACCCATTGTGCTCGGAGGACCAGAATGACTAGGCGGTATTGGCATACTTTGCTGACTCTGTACAGATAAAATTTTTCATAAATATCTAAAAAATAAATGTTCAGTTTAAAGAAAAAAATATGGCCCTACCAATTGAGGCGGTGGCGGCGGCGGTGGAGCTTTCAATTGCTGATCTATCGCCATCTTTTGTTGTTCAATATTCTGGATCTGTCTCAATGCGTGAGTGACAAAAGCTTGGTGTTGCGCTTGATAATTATCGAATGTCTGTTTCGTCGACGCTGTAATAGGAGTAATCGCGGTGGCGTGCTGCGCCACTAAATTAGCTTGATACTCTGACCAGGATGCGCTCGGTTGTTTCAACTTATCTATGATGCCTTCGTCAAAATAATTATTCTTTGATTCCCACAAACTTAACAGCTTATTTAGCTTATTAAGCTGTTCGTCGGATGCCGCTAGTGAAGTGTTACAGAACATGGGAACAACAACACTTTCCATTGCTTTGCGAAGATCCATAGACTTTTTTCTTGCACTAAGGAAGTATCCAATTATATATCTTGTGCATGGTTAGCGATATCGCATTTTAGTTTATGACATATCGCTGTTTATTACAAAATTGTAAATATAAACAAATATAAATTGTATTAAAAGAATCAAAAGAAACTTTAGCAGTCATAGAAACTATATTGGAATTATTTTGGGAGTCGATTACAATTACGAGAATAAAATATCCAAGAATAAAAATAATCCATTTTGATTTGTCATATACATGTATAATACATGTATTGATACTAACCAGTGATGTAAAACGTCATTCACCAGATAAATAATGTGCAACTTATGGCTGAAGGTTGTCCCCTGAATTACTCTGAAAAAGAAAATTTAAATGGAGATAAAAACGTATATATAAATTTTCATACGTAAACATGAAACATATGTACATATTAAAACGTACCTCTTCAGTAAATGATCCGCGACAACTTGATTGCTCTGCGGTGTAAGCGAATTTTGAAGTATCCAGGCCTTTCCTGCGCTTATGCTATCCTTTGTGCAGCTATCGATGATCGGTTGTAAGACCGCGTCAAATGCAGCCAAGTCTGTGTTTGTGTTTTGCGCACTGCTCTGTAAAGCCTGTTCCTGTGCCTGCCTCACAGCATCCTCTACTCTTCCCTGCTGTTGTGCCATCAACGCAGCATGCTGCGCAGCCAGGTTCTGTTCTGATTGTCTCACTTGTTCCTGCAACGTCGTCTGCTGCGACTGTAGATTCGCCAACTCATTCTGCAGCCACGCGGGCGGCCCCGCGATGTTAACCGCTTGCGCGACTCCGGCGATCGGCGGATTCACACCTCCTATGGCGCCGGAAACCGGTCCAATCGGCGGTCCTGCATTTCCCGGCCCTCCGATCTGTCCAGGCAAAACGGGACCGCCTTGGCTCCCGACCTGGGGCCCGATCCCGACCACCGGATTTATTCCATTGTTTTGCGTACTCAGACCGGACGCAAGATTGACGTTATTCAGTGGCTGCGAGACGGCGCTTGCGGCTGTTTGCTGCTGCTGCGAAACGTTTAAACGTGGGTCTGCATTTTGCATTGGATTTATTCCTTTTTGCTTTAAAACTGTAAACGAATGACGGTGGATTATTGTGAGATGCTGAGTCCTTGTCAATCGATATTTGAAAAATTTGTATACAAATAGTTCGATTGTTTTTTTTTTCTGCGAAGTCTTATCTTCTATATCGGTGCGTATAAGAAAATTCTTGGGCATTTACATGAGAGAAGTATAGTATCGGAAAACTCGGTAAATCTTTTGGGAGCACTATACTCTTTTTTTTTTCTTTTTTTCTCTTTTTTTTCGCATTTTTACAGTACTAAGATATATTACAGGACACGCTATTTTGGACGGGTGGGCACGTATTTTCCCCACACAGATTGAAGCAATACATTGGCAATGTACTTCACGTTAGACAAACTCCAGCAAGAATCTTAAAACTACATCTTCTCAAAATCGCCATTGCCAAGGAATGCAAGGTGTCTTTAGTGTAAAAGTGTTTCTGCTTAACAAATAGCAATCCCAAAATCTTGAGAGGATGATGGAGAATCAGACTCTGTATCGCTTTTCAAGGTCATTCCTTTGCTGGTTGAGTAAAGCATGGCCTGTTTTTTTTTTGTTTTTTTTTTTAATGCCTCTTAATCACAGTAGCTGTTAATGGGCTATGTCCCACTTACTGGCTTGCTCTGTAGTCACTTTGTACTGATAGTAGTTGAAGTGCTCCCCCCCAAACAGGAAACCGAACTTCGGGTTGTCCTTCTGCTTGTTTTTCGTCATCTGTTCGAATTCTGGCCCATTCCGTGCGACAAACTGCGCCAGTTTGTCTATGATGTTCCGCAATTCTGTGTCTGAATGTTATGAGCAAGAAAAAAGAACAAGAATCAGACCCAAACTAATATCTAATGAATTAAATTAGATATATGATCTATATATAATCTAATAACTATTCTAATTGGATCGTTACTACATATTATTTTGTCAAAGAAGTCATTGGAAGACGCTTAAAGTTAAAACTGCGTAAAAACAAATAACAGAACATAAATAAAACAACGCAATACAATACATATCGTCAATAAATAAACAGTACTACTTATATGACGATTAGTAAAGTTTTCAAAAGGGACACAAACTGCAGTCAAAAATGAAATATACAACTATCTACGCAATGAATTATTCCTGAATAAACACTCATCTATAAATAATATGTGCGACCATTTACAACCTTAAATATAGAGCAATCAAAGCCAAAAAAAAATGTCATAGGTAATACTGTTTATTCCACAAACGATATGCAATATTGTAATTACTGCAAAAACAAAAAATATAACTTTAATAAGAGAAGAAACAAAGTCCACATAAATATAACCAAAATTGACAAGTAAACATCATTAACATGTATTAATTACTCGTAAAACCTTTTTCAATTAACATTTTTATTTCCTACGTTTGAAATACATATGTGTGATCTCGATATAAATTTTTGGAAGTAACCTAGCGAGCGAATCCGGACACCAGCGATTTGAAAGTGTCACCGCACTACTCTGTTCTCGTAGGAAGTCGCTCAACCAAACGGAACAGCGAGGTGGAAGCAAAAGACACATTTTATGATTAATGCGGGAGGATACGGATTAATTAATTAAAATACAAGCAAGAGAGAGGGAGGAAGAGAAAGAGAAAGAGAGAGTGAGAGAACGGGAGGTGCGAGGGACGAAACGAGAAACGCGTGCGAGAGAGCGCGCCTGTGCGGCCGGATCGGCGTGCTCACCTGCGGGTGCCTGGTCCATCTCGGAGCGCGGGGACGCTCGATCGTCAACGGCTCCGTCAAAGTTGCGCCGTTAAAACGTTACGTGCACGTACCGTCCGCTCGCTCGATTGTCGTACCGTGCATGAAAACGGGGCACCGTCTCGTGGTGCATCATTCACTCACGTCAGCGGATCGGACAACGCGCTAAACGTCGCCATTACAACCTCGCGGCGGCCGGCAGGGCCGCCAACCCGTTGGGCGTCGCGTCACTCGCGTCCTCTGGAGCGCCGGCACTTTGATGCCTCTCGCGCATGCGCGGACAGACATTTTTTGGGGTCTGTTCTTTTTAGCTGAACCTCGTGCATAGTTCATCTTATTTTCTCTTTCTTCTTGTCACGTTGGAGAGAAAGAGAGAAAAGATGAACTGTCCAAGAAATTCAACTAAAAAGAACAGGTGTTATAATATTATATTGATATTTAAAATTGGTATTATTTAATATAAAAAATTAGAGTATTTAATATAAAATAAATATCTACTGATTTTTTATATAAAAATTATTTATATTAAGAATAGAGAATTGGGAATTGAGAATTGGGAATTGAGAATTGAGAATTGAGAATTGAGAATTGAGAATTGAGAATTGAGAACTGAGAAATGAGAATTGAGAATTGGGAATTGGGAATTGAGAATTGAGAATTGAGAATTGAGAATTGGAAATTGGGAATTGGAAATTGGGAATTGGGAATTGGGAATTGGGAATTGAGAATTGATAATTGAGAATTGGGAATTGGGAATTGGGAACTGGGAATTGGAAATTGGGAATTGGAAATTAAGAATTGAGAATTGAGAATTGAGAAATAGAGAATTGAAAATTCGCGTTATGTCCCGCTTTTGGACAAGTGTGCTGTATGGGTCCTGTTGGCTGCTGGACGCATGTCGTATTCATACGAACCGACCCATCCCTTCATTCCGTCATATTTCATGGCGCCGATGTCCGCGTGCGAGCCGCGAGGTTTCAGAACTTGATATCCAATATTCGAAGACGTCGCGGCATCGTGCTCCTCCACCTCCATTTTGATTTTCCACATGGATGTGTAGACGTTTCATCGGCAGTTTGCGCTTTATTTCGCTGCATCTTGTTGTGACCTGTTTTACGATCTGGATCGTCTGTCTGCCGCAAGCTATCTAATTCCTACGGTAAGACATCCAACGACAAATTTACTCCTCCGACGTGGCGTTTTTTTTTTCTCTCTCTCTCTCACTTTTTCCCGAACATATCGAGTTTGCATGCAGGGTTAGCTGTATCGACGATAGCGTGACATGTGATCTTTTATCTCGACTCTTTCGTAGATTTTACGGCCTTGTTTATCGAATATAATTATCTTATTAACAATTAAATGAAGCGCCGTTCGATCGCCCGTGCATTATAAAATAGGTTAGGTTAGGCGGTTCACATCGTACAACACAAGCAGCTCTGATCTTTTATAATTACTATTTTATTTTTTTACATTTGCAACGTTAGGGCTCAGACACAATGAGAAAAAAAAAGGAATAAGATAAAGAAATAAGGCATGTTGCATTTCACTTTAATGTACGTGTACTGAAGTGAGATGCGACATTCCCTTATTCCTTTATCTTATTCTTTATTTTTGTCATTGCGTCTGAGCCCTTTTAATGTAATAATTACATTTAAAAACTACTTTTAAAAAGTATCGTTACCGAGTTTTTTAATCGACTGATATTCAACTATAATTTAATAGACTTGGCCTGTAAAGAAACGTCTCCGAAATGTATCATTATACTTTTAACATGCTGGAAGGGGGATAGAGCACCGTATAATTTTGTATCTAATTTGTTTCAGCGTTTGTGTACATTTTCTGGCTCTAATAGAGTTTCGTTTATTATAAAAATAAGATGACTGACAAATCTTTAACGGGTTAAGTATAATATTTAGGTGCAATATATTGATGCAAATAATGTGTAAAACATCAGTTATATTTTGTAGAATGTTATATTATATTCAAATGTTCTTTAAAATTAAATAAAATGTAAACACAGAAGTCTATCCTTTAGGAATTATAGATAATTTTAAATTTAACGTAGATTTTAAGCTGTTTTTATAATTGCAGATAAATGAACAGCAGGATAAATTCAAATACAATATTTTTATGGAGAATTGCCTAAATATTTTAAAACCTGATGTTTGCACATATTGCACATTTATGCTTTAAAACTAGTACGCGTACATATTTAAATATTGTAATACTGTATAACTTTCAGAGATGCCAGTTGCGCAAAATGAAGTCAAGTCCAGCTGGGCTGATGAAGTTGAAGAGGAGGGAGGAGCGTTGCCCGCGCCGTCGGAAGTCTACGAGAATGGTTTCAAAATTCTCACCGAATACAAGTACAATCAAGACAACAAGAAGGTCAAGGTTGTACGCTATTATAAAATAGAGCGGCGTATAGTGTCGAAAACGATTGCGGCGCGTAAGAATTGGGCAAAGTTCGGCGATTCTGTTGACGACAGGCCAGGACCCAATCCAGCTACCACTGTTATCGGTGAAGATGTCTTCATGCAATTCATATCCAGCAAAGAGGAAGAGAACAAGGTCGAGGAGGACTCCCTGGATAAATTGAAAAGCATGGGCGACAAGGGAGTGGTCAAGTGCCGTAACTGCAACGGCGATCACTGGACGTCCAAGTGTCCGTACAAAGATACTGTTCTCGCTGGTGGTAAGTTATGTTGCGGAAGTCGATTGATATAAATACAAAACTTACATTATGTATATGCTCAATTCGACTCTTGGTTTTGGAGCGTCGATTGGCCGATGAGAGGGCAATGAGTAGTATTTTTGTTGAATTTGTTTCTAAACCCGCGTCAGCGTGGCCAGACGCTCGCGAGAAAGTACGTTTGCCCGAGCGCGGCTGGTTAGTGTGGTGCTGGGCTACCGTCTTGACAGGGACACCACAATGTAAATGAATAATATATGTTATTTATTTTGCAAAATTATAACTTTGCGAAAATTCTCTCTTCAGGAAAAGTACCAGACGACAAGAAGCCTCTCGTTAATGCGGGAGTACCCGGTGCAATAGCTGAACTTAAACCACAGGGCGGCAAGTACGTGCCGCCTGGTATGCGCGACGGTGGCAACAAACGCGGCGACTCGATGCAGATGCAGAGACGCGACGACACGACCGCCATACGTATTTCCAATCTTTCGCAGAGCACCACGGATGCGGATCTGGACGAGCTTGTGAAGCCGTTCGGTTCCGTAGTGAAGCAGTTCCTCGCCAAAGAGAAGCTCTCCAATCTCTGCAAGGGTTTCGCATATGTACACTTCAAGCACAGGGCCGATGCCGCGAGAGCGATCGCCACTCTGGATGGTTACGGTTACGATCATCTCATCCTGAGCGTCGAGTGGTCGAAACCACAAGTTCAAAATAATTGAAGCGATTCGAAGCATACAACAGGTGCGGATAGAAATGTGAAATTAGTTTGATTACAACTGAAGAGAATCCCTATGACAAACAAACTATTTGTACGTAAATCTATGTACATTCTTACGATATCAAAAGTAGAAAGACAATTAGTGGTCTGTATTCGTCTCATTTAATTCTAAATGTGAAAGTCGGATTTTCATTTAGATATACACTTATTTAATATAATAATATCGTGTTTAGAATCGTGTAATCGTGACATGAAAATTTCTGTTTATTACATTTAGGGTTAAATGTGTGGCGCGAATACAGACCACGAATCCTATCTTTATTTTATATTTTATGCACTTAATTATGTAAGTATATAAATATGTAAATGTATAATGTACACATATATTTACTAAATAAATTCATAGTAAATATATAGCAAAAAAATATAGACATAGTAAACAGGGAAGCTTATTCTTTGTTATAATTTTATTATCTTTGTTTCTGATATTGCAATGCACTTCTAAATCTATTAATTTAAAGCTACTCTGTTTACTCGCGTGAAAAATGATTACATCAATAGTATCATACTTTGTATCCTGAAAATCTTAATCTCGATTGAAAAAATATATTGTAAATTCTTACGTGACGAATTGATTTCCTTAACTCCCACGCTCTTAATCACGGACTTTTAAGAAAATGTAGAAAAATGGAAATCATTAATAAAATCCACCGAATCGGGATGAAACGATGATGAGTCGGATCTGAAACTTCATTCATACCTATTGACAATACAAAAATCGCTTAGCATAGACAGTTTTTATTTCAATATATTACATAGATTATATTGAATCACAATGAATGTAATTACATTTGGATTTTTTGGCCGCGCGGCCGCATTATGAGTGGACTTAGGTACATATTTCCAGAATCGAAATGTTACGTCTAATACAACCTTACACAATGGCTTATAGAAGACTCCTCAAAAGTACATCCATCGCGCTAATTACAATATAATACATCGGTCTTATTTTTCATTCTTATCCTTCATTTGTCGTTCGTATTTTCTGTTTGCTTGGCGGGATCAGTTTGCGACGACACGTGTTGTTATCAAATAATAAAGCCACAACTCGGGGAGGAGGAAGGGGGGAAGTATTGAGGACAAACCGATAACCGCTAGGACAATTGAAGATTATCGTTGAAAATTGTGAATGAGACGAAACATCACAATTCGTGTTTAACACATTATCCTCCTTATACAATGAATCTAGGACACCCTGTAACAGCTCGATTACCCGCGAATATACAATCGCCAATAAAGATCAGCCAGCTGAAAAAAAAATTATTCGATTAAAATTAGCAAAACTAAAATTAACAGTCGTCTCTCTTTCGGACTTGCTTAGCAAAATTAATCTCGCACGCTTCTCGATGTAAAATAGATCGCGAGAAGAAATGCATTATTCTCCACAACGGTAGTAAAATTGATATTATAGAATTGCGATGACGTATGAGTGAGAAACAAATTCAGTTAAAAATTCCGAATTAATTTCCGCGATTTTTCCAAGTGCCCGTTCAAATCTGCGTTCCGCTTAAATCTGTTTTTTTTTCTTGGTCCGGCCGGTAGCCTACTTGGTTCGCGGATTAAGAAAATCGTCGTCACTTGTCGTCGGAGGGCGAACGGGGGATGCTGGGTCCAAGCGGCGAGCTTTATCACGTGACATTGATCTCCTCGTCCTCCTCGTTCTCCGTTTGCTCCTCGGGCCTCTGCGGGCTCGTGAGCGGGCTCACGTCACTCAGGTCCATCCTCGGCCGATCCCCGTCGGCGTCGCTCAGATCCGGATTGGGGTTGTTCTTGTTCGGTAACGTCTGCTCGCGCGAGCCGCCGGTCGCCAGCAGCTCTCGCTCCTTGCTGTTCCGCCACTTCATGCGCCGATTTTGAAACCAGATCTTCACCTGCAAAAATTCAACCCCGATTACCAATTTGCAATGAAAATCGCGGACGTCTGAATTGTTTGAAAGAGAGAAACATATCTCACTTTTTTACAGAATTTTATTCCGCTTTTATTATCTTTGATCTATATTGTATGACTCATCTGATGTATATGTCCGGTTAAATTATCAAATACTTTTCATTTACGTCCATGTGTTTATATAATGTCTTCTTTCCGTCATCTAGCTGCCGTAAAATATCTAATTTAAATTTTGACAAAATCCATTATAGAAGATCTGTAATTCATATATAGAATTCCATTTATAATTTTAAGTCTCCACAAAGTCCGTTTTAAACTATAATTTAGTCTATAAAATCTATAATTTTGTCTTTAGATCTGTAATTCGTTTTAGAGTTTTATTTACAATTTTATATGCGGCATTTTTTGAGATATGCGTGTAGGTACTTTGATATATACATATATATTTTTTTCTTTTTTTTTCTGATTCTTAAATGTTTTTCGTCTCACGTTTATAAAGTTAAAATTCTATCTTCAATTCTGACACGAATTATACCGAACGGACTTGATACAAAATATTTGAAGAATCAAAATACACAGCATGGTAAAATTATAAACAGAAATTCTATCTGGACTTTAACACGAATTACAGATCGCGGATTCTCACTTTAACCGATTTATAATTAGCGTTAGATTTTACAGAATAAAATTCTATTTTCAATTTTATACGTCTCACGTATTTTAATATGTATATATATTCTGCGCAAAATTCCGACACGAATCATAGAAACAGGTTCAATAACTCAACTTCAACATTTTCATCCAACTAAATTCAACAATCGCCACAATATCATTCTTAAAATGTATAACGTCCCCATTTACGTTTAATCCATGAGATTTTTCCGGCACACTTACACCGCGTGAGCTCCAGAGAGGACTGCTTTTACGAAACGACACACGTATCTTGTACGGCACATCAGAGCGCCTGTGTATGTAATCGAGGAAGAGGGAAACGATTACTTTCCCGCATTAAGGAACCGCTGAACGCAGGCCAACGTCAAACGCACACCGTGGCACCCCCGAAAGTCTCTCGCCCACCCTTGTTTCCCGTCCGCTACGCCGCCCCGTATAGCCGCCCCATTAGCCACTTTATTATACGCGTTCTACCTTGAGCGAATCGTTGACCCCGGGTTGCGCGGATTGATCTACCTAAACTGCTTTCCGAATTTTCATTCGCCGCCACCGCCACCGCCGCCGCCGCCGCGGTGATGGTGTGTGCACTTGACACCATCACGGACCCACCACCTTCGGGGGGTCCGCGCTCGCTCACACGAATATACAATACTTCGCGCTGCCCCTGATTGATGCCGCGGGACGTGGATGTTCGATAATTCGCCAGACGGTTTCGCCGAACGTCAGGTACGGAAGCCACTTCCGTTTAAAAGCGATTGCAAATTCGTTCGTTTCGGTTGTGCTTTTCGCGCTTCTTCGTTCTTCTCCCCCGAAGCCAGAATACGGAATCATCAGAAGGGGCGATAATATTTCATGCCGGGGGTATATAGGAGAGAGTTGCCCAAATCTTATTACTTAGGGGAGAGTTGCCCCCAAATCGTACCACTTCAGATATTTCTTGTTATATTTCTCATTTGGTACTAATTTGCAAGTTAATATTGGAAATTGTAGCTTGACGCTTGAAACACCTTTATTACGTTTAATCTTTCGCTAAGAACAAATTAATTTATTAGAAGCCTTCTTGTGACATAATGTGAAAGGTATTTAAGCAACCAGTTTAATTAAATAATTATGTTAGTCATGAAATTATAAATAATATGATAAACAAATGAGCGTGAATTGCCAAATTCTATTAGTACGATTTAAAATACATGATCTATTTTATAAAAATATTGATTTAATTTTTATAAAAAATTCAATATTTATTTCTATTTTACTTGCAATATATATATTATGTATATATATATATAAATAAAATAAAACGTTTGACAACAAATATATTTTTATAAAAGCACAAAAAAATATATTTTTATAGAAATACAGGAAAACTGCATTGTTAAATTATCATCAGCTACAAAAGTTACATTAATCGTATCTGATTTTTATAAATGTTTGTGTAACGCACAGAATAAGATTTAAGAATAAGATAATCTGGGAATTTTTTGTCTATATTACTTGTTGCTCATTTATTTCACATTATATAAATGATATTTTATATTCAATAATATTCAGTAATGAGATGAAGCACAATTTATGTGATCAGTACTCATTAGGCAATTCCCTTCTACGTTTTACAAAGAAAAAAAAAATATATATATATGTATATATAGAAAAGAGAAAAACTTCCAGAGTGTATATGTATAAAGATTTATCGCGAGATTGTATCCTGAAAAGTATATTAGCTACATCTTGTAAGTTCACTTTAGGCAATTTATAATTTGCGTTGTTTCAGAATTCTATTTATATATTTTGATGTATGTGTTTTGATGTACCTATCTTAATATATGTTCGTAATTCAATTCTTTAAAAAGATTTTTTGCGTTATACGGCGCGTAAAATTATAAATAAAATTTTTCTGAGTTTCAACGCGCATTATGGATCGTCTGAAGTGGGTTCGAAATAAATTCACTACGTGGAAAATCGAGAGTAGCTGAATAACGCACTTAAAAATCAGATTGCGTCATGTGTTATAAGTATAATTTTATTTAATATCATACGCATTACGCATTTCCAATTGCCTCTGCAAATTAATTAAAAATGTCATTTCTATAAATGGAGAACTGTGGAGAGCGCCCGAATGTCTCGTCCCGTAACATCGGGGGCACGATCTTCTACGATCGGGCGAGGGGGATGGAGAGCGATTAGACGGGCGAGGGGATGAAGAGCGTATCGGTCGCTCTTTCGCCGCGCATAATTTATAACGTATAAAATAACGTGTTCTCGACATTCAAAAATATTATTCTTTTTTTCCCCCCGGAGTGTTTCACGCGCCGGCGGACGATGGGCCGCGGGATGAAACGCGTACGAATTAAAATTTTCGACACTTTGGCAACGTATATCTTATTCGACGCACGCAACGCATTCGGCCAAGCGCGGTGCGTGCGTTTGACACCGCGCACCATCATTAATACCGACCCTCGACCTAGAGAGATTGAAATTTAATGTAATTTATTATTTTTTAATATATCCCATGAAAACGTTTTACGCGGATATTTTTGATGCACGCATCCCCGCCCCCCCCTTCCTCCCCTCCCTCCCTCCTCCTCCCGGCGCCGTCCTTCCCGGTCACTCTCGAGGGAGGAGGCAGGCGTGTGCGTTTGACACCGCGCGAGCTAAAACGGGTTTTGACGCGTTAATGTGTTTTTCCGCTTTATAGCGAGATCGGCCGGGGGGATCGGCCGCATTGAGAAAGGAGTCACGGCCATGGAGCGCGCTCGTCGAGCAGACTTGTTTACACGAAACGCCATTCAAAGCGCGGACGGCCGCGATCATAATCGCATCGTTAATCGCCAAGCTCTGTAATAAAGGCAGCTCTCATTCCGCCCGCTTGAAACAGCGCGATTCATCCGCGTTTAATTATCATTATTAATTAGGTATATACGTATGTACGCGCGCCCGTTGTCCGTTCAAGCGCTACCGCGCGATATATCGGATAGAGAGCTTCTAATAAAGAGTAATTATTGTAATATCTGCAGTAATTACTCTTTATTAGACTCTTGTAACGTAACTGGGTGGAAAATATCAGAATCCTGACGTGACGATGAGTGAGAAATTTTATTAATATTGTTATAACAATAAAATTTTCATAATATTATTATTTTAACTGTAAAATCCTGCGGATCGTAAAATAAAAGTTTTAAGACAAACATGGTTTATTATGTTAAAGTATTGTTAATTAAAAAAGCATGGTTTGTTATTAAAACATTAAAAGAAAATAAAAGAAAACGGATGTATGTGTAAAAGCAATTGAGGGGGTTGCTTTTGAAATTACAAAGTTTTTACTACGAACGCGATATCTATTTCTTACGAATTAAGATCGTCACGTTGACCGCGAATAATATTACGGGAGGACCGCGCTCGTTAAGCCAAAACACGTAATAAAATCATTAACATAAACGTATTCGTACCGCGCGATATACGTCCCGGCATCATTAGAGACCTCAACGCGACACTAATAATTCTATCAATTACATGATTCGTTTTATCGGTGTAACGCGCTGACTCGCCGCTCGCCCAATTGCGTGTCAATAATATTTGTAGCATTTATACCTAACGCTTGTAATATTGCAGAATACGCGTTTAACCAGAAGTCAATCACAGTTCACACGCACGTAGTGCCGAAATCAATTCATCGCGAATTACGGTGAATTTGATTGTAGTTGCTGATAGAAATCCGGCTGATAGAAATCCGACCGACGAAATTTCATAACAAATATTAAATTTCACTAGTGGCAAGAGATAAAGAAATCTTATATATATGTATATATGATACAAGTATTGCAACGTAGAGGATATATAAACAATTTATGCGCTGAATGAGTCGTTATTATTTCAATGTTTCCACTTTTTAATTACAAAATATCTTGATAATCCTCAAATTAAATTACCATTAAAATATAAAATTCATGTAAATCTGAATTCAACATCTCGTCATATTTTTCTGTATCTAAAATTTAATTTGCGAGAATTTTCAACCTCCACACAATCATAAATATTAATGATAAAATTATAACCAATTTAGCACGAGTCATTGAATTTGATAGTTGCTGACAGAAATTCAAGTACCGGTGAAATTTCGTAACAAATATTAAATGTCACATTAGCGGTAACAGATAGATCTTGTTATATGAATATTAATATAAAAAAATATACCTATATAAATTGTACTTACTATTCCGACGTTGCAAATTTTTTATTCTGTAAAAATGTTAGCTCTTGAGATTCTCAAATCAAATTGTAAAAAAATCAAGCCATTAATCAAAACTCAAATTTAAAATGCCTTAAAAATAAAAAAAATTAAAAGAAGTAAAGCCTTTTGAAAAGGTTAGAAATTTAAAAGAATGGAATCCTGTTTAATGTGAGTTCAATTTGCCAGACATCTGATCGTTTATGTTTATGCAGTTTAGAACTTACAGCTGTTTTGTCTATTCTATACTTTAATTAACAGACCATGTTGTAAAACATGTGAAAAATAAAGCAGGGGAAGAGAGGGGTCAAATACAGCTTACGAAATATTGCAAAAATTACACTCGTATTTCTCGATATAAATATCAAAGAATAATCGGTAAAATTGTTATAAAATTATTTTAAATGTTAAAAGTTTTCTTGACCGTTACAGTTTATAGCTGACCTTGTGTTTGCAATCAGACGGACTGCGTGACTCCTGCCGGTAGGCAGCATGCTATAACATACCTGCCTGTCGCCCAGGGGAGCACGGTCCATTTCAATGCATAATTAATAATTCAATATTTATATTCAATTAATTGACTACTAATAGTAGACATACTACTAACATTCTTATTGAATTAATAGCATTTTAGAGAAACAATTTTTCAGAGTATTCTGTTTTATAAAACGGAAACTTTAACAAATTATAAATCGTTATGCGGAAATTGCACGCATCTATATAATACTTTATTGTGGCTCTATGTAAAACAATAAATTTTACAACATCTATCAACATATAATTTTAAATTGTGTGCACGTATTATGTGTATATATATATGAATTGCAAGATTGAGTAATGTGCAGAGCAACGAAGAGTAACGTATCAACCTTTTGTTAGTAATTAACTTGTGGTGCATTGAATAAAATATTTGACATTTACTTTACTATGTTAAATATTTCACGTCCATTTAATATATGTGTGCGCGTATCTCGCGAAGTCCAGTGTTTATTTTTTTAAGCATCCATGTGATATCACATGGCTTTTCGCCGACTATAATTCTCACACGAGTAACGACACTGGCGCGATGGTAGTGACTCTTTACCCAAAGGATTGAAAACTTAACGGGGAAGTTAACTGTATTGCATGTGGACAGACACGAGAAATATCTTTTTTATCGCCTATTCATTCACTTTCTGTCATAAGCGCCCTTACAACTTTTTTTCGAGGGGGAGAGAAGGTAGAGTGCTAATATACTTAAAGTACCATTTTTGTTTAGGTTGTGAAAAACTGGAAATTAAGAAATAAAATATTTAATTTGGTATATATTATAAAAATTTTACAAATTATAAGTACCTATTTGAAAAAAAAACAATGAAATATAATTATTCGAAAAAGGAAAATTTCAAACTTCTTGAATTTCTTAACTTCCAGGGAGTTTATTAATCTTGAAACGGGGTAAAAATTGCAAAAATGAACAGATTTACTAAGTTACAAATAAAATCGTAGATACTCTAGTAAATTTCATAATAACCCTCAGAAGATAATATATCATTTATTGATCGAAGATGATCATTCAAAAAAGAAAACAGTTCTCAATGTTTCCATGCATATGTATTTTTAAATAATATTTGTTAAAGTAATATTCATGCAAATTTTTACTTCTGTATAAATTAAAAAAAAAAGTTATCTGATTGTCAATCATAAAATTATTCTAAATCGAAAAAATTAAAATACAGGGAGGGCATATGTCCCTCTTTGCTGCCACTCATACTATTTGCCTGTTTATAAGCCTGTAATAAGCCTGTGTATAAGCCTGTAATAAGCCTGTAATAAAGGAAATATGTATCTGAGTATTAAAATTAGAAAAAAAGACAAGCTGGAGAAAATATGATTAAAGTAAATCAGTTCCGAAGTATGTGACAGTTTTATTTTATTTTATTTTTTTTCCAATGGCGCAACAGTCCGAGTCGGACCTAGGCCTCCCCCAAAGTCATGTGCTTGTGGTGCGCACACAGGTTGTATACAAGCACATGGAACTTACATGGCAGTTTAATGCCGAATCCGAACGGCAAGGTAGAGGGGGTTTTGAGGCAAGGGATACTCCTGACGGACTGCCATTCCGTCGCGAGGACAGTTTTATTTACTAAATTTAACTAATTCAAATATGTTTATGTGAGAAAAGTCACAGTCACTTTGACGTTCTAATAAACAGAATATATCGGTAGACAAAAAAAGGTGAGAGAAGTTAAAAACAATACTGTGCCCTTGTGCGGCCAGTCTAGACATACAGTTCTATTATCGCAAGTCGATTGAAGAGGCTACAACGTGACTCTCCTGAAATGGATTTTTTCAGCTCTACAAGAGATCCACACTCATTTGCGATACCAGGTATTTTATTTGATTACTTAATTAGCTACGTAAACATAATAAAAATACTTTAAACTTACTTTTTTCTTAAAGAAAATACAATAAAATAAGAAAGTGCGGAATTCATAGATGTTTGAAATCAAAATTGCTACATATATACTTGATTCTATAGTAACGTACAAGTTTTCAAAATTTTAGATTATTATCTCACAGTTTTTATTAACTGACAACATTCTGCGCATCTTCTTTTAAATGCACGAAATATAATGTATCTACTATCTAGCATAAAGGTCTGAAAATTGCTTGCATTTTACAAATGATATATCACACGCAATAATTACCATAATAATTCTAATTATACAATATAACATTCTTAATCGTGTATTTACTCATTACATTTATATATCATTATTTATTACTTATATTTCTTTATTTTTATCTTCCTAATTATAAGAATTGGCACGTGTAATCGACACCAATTTAGAATTGATAGTGAATTTCGATCGAAGAATTCTTGAAGGAACAGCGACTTTGACTATAACAAGGCGACCTTTAATTAATCAGATAGTGAGTAGACAATTCCTTTCATATCGAGTAAAAATTTTGACTGCGGGTTTATTAATATGTAATATCGAATAATTTATAGATTTTAGATAGCCTCGGACTTAAAATAATTCATGTCACAAACGCGTTTGATGGAACACGTTTACATCATCATGTACAATTTAATCTTGCTTTTGGAAGTTCATTGTGCGTAAATTTACCACTAACTAGTGATACTACTGGGTAAATATAAGATATTTTATATATTTTTAAAGAAATAAATTTACTAAAAGTTATTGATGTAAGAATTGAATACCCACCCATAATACGATATTTTCAGTTGTATAATTAAAATTAAATATGAAACAACTCCACACTCGCCTGCATTATATTGGCTAACACCTGCGCAAACTGCCTATGGTAGACATCCCTTTCTACTGTCTAAGAACAAGGTAAGCAACAAAGCCAAACAAAGATTTTCTTTTAAATAAATATAGAGTATATATAAATATCTATATTCTTTCAGCTAATATACGCTAGAACATGGTTTCCTTGCCAGGACACCCCGGCCGTCAAATTTACGTACTCTGCTAAGGTATAAGAATTTAAACACAGGTGGTATATTTCTATTCTTCTAGCATTTATTCATTTACATAAAATCGATGACATTCGATTAATTATTATTGACATTATTGATAAAAATAATATTGACGAAGAAATGGATTGGTATTTAATTTTTATATACGTATATTTTATTTTTTAGATTTCGGTAGAAAAATGTTATAGAGTTCTAATGTCCGCCCTTTCGCACCGTATAGAAAGAGGTATGGAACGAGATGCATATATATTCCGTCAAGAGCAACCGGTACCATCTTATGCGGTGGTTATTGCTGTGGGTTCATTATGGATAAGAAAACTTAACGAAAGAACAAGTATATTTGCCGAAAATTACATTTTTCATTCTACTTATAACGATAATTTTTACACTGACACTGTGATTGAAGAGATGTTGCGGTATGCCGAACTTTATTTATGTGGACCTTATCACTGGGGTAAAAAATATTGACTAGATTTTTTAATGTTATTTATTTAAATTCAATTAAATTTAAATTTCTTTAAATTTTTTAAAATCATTTTGATATGTTTATTTAAATTTATGCGTATAATAAATTTTTGTGCATTAGCACACTGCAAACCCAAGTGTGTTAATTTTAATTGAAGCTCTTCATACACATTTCTTGCCCTTTTAAATCATGCCATTTAACACGATGGAACATATTAACTTTTAATTTTATACGATTATATGTGTTCAGTCAAATGTGTCATTTTTACGGCCAGTTTCTCTCAACGTCGTATTAACTGTAATCTTTAATTAAACTCATTCTTCATCTCTTTTTAAGAGGGACAGTTAGGTTAGGAAGAAACAGATGAAAAGTGAGTTTAATCGAAGGTTACAAAAGATTAGACGTTTTCTGTGTAAAATAACGCACTTGGATTTGCAATCTTTCTTTTGTTCTTTTGTTATTATGTTTAAAATAATGTCTCTATAGGTAGATACGATATATGCCTGCTTCCACCGAGTATCGCCGATTTCGAAATAGAATGTCCATGCGTGACATTTATTTCACCGTTTCTAATTAGCGGAGATCGTTCTTATGTCTGTAATTTGCTAGCTCGGAACATCTCACAGAGCTGGGCAGGAAATTTAGTTACGTGTGAGAATTATCAGCATTTGTGGTTAAATAAGAGTTTTAGCCTTTTTATTTCCAGAAAAATTAAACGCCACTTTTTGTATCATGAAAGGATAGATGTTTATCTTCAAAAAGAAGGATTACAAAACATGAATAGTTTGGTAAGATTATAATATCTTAATTATTACTTTGACTAGATAAAGAAATAAGGTATAATAAATAATGTCGCCAATTGATAATATATTACATTGTATGCACTATAAACACACCCAATTTCTGAATTTTTACTAGATTATTTTCTCATATTGTATTGTGTAAATTGTATTGTAGTTTCAAAAACCCAAAAATGTCTGGGATACCCAAAAGTATCTAAGATGCTTATTACCCAATTTGGAATATTCGTCACCTGACACAGCCACTAAATATGTGCCTTACGAGAGGGGATATTTTCTCTTATGTCATCTAGAGAATATATTAGGAGGACCCACATTATTCGAACCGTTTCTTCAATCTTATTTTAGTGTTTTTGCGTGTAGAAGTATTAATACTGCTGTTTTTAAAACATACTTGTATCAACAATTTCCTGACAGAGTGGCGGTAACGTCCTTTTTATACATACAAACTACAGTTTCATCACTATTTATATGTTTAGCATTAAAAATCATGACTTCCATGTTGATTTCAGCTATTAGATGGTGTTGACTGGGACTCGTGGTTCAGTAATATTTCTTCTATACCTATCATGCCGGAATTATCGGGAACGTCCGCGTGGGAAGAAAGCTGTTTCAAATTAGTTGAAAGCTGGATGAATTGGGATAGTAATAATGAAATTCCTGAGACAACAGATGAGAACAACCTATGTGACGTTCAAAAAATAATATTATTAAAATATCTATATTCTTTTCATAAAAGTCTGACCATAATAAAACTGAACTCTTTAAACAATCGCTTCTTTATCCAAAATGAAGAAATAAAGTAAATATGCATATTTTCTCATTCAAATTGATTCACAATTCCTTATAATCGTAAAGCGCACGTATTTCGCAGGTTTCTTTGGATCCTATTGTGCATTAAAGTTCGATGGACTGACAAACTTCAACTAGCTTTGGACTTTGCTACTGAAAATTGTTCGCCAAATTACGCATGTCCTATATTTCAACATTTGTACGAATGGGAAGAAAAGCATCCAATAATGATTGAAGAGTATAATAGAAAACAGGAAAAGATGTGGTATAAAACCCAAAAAAAAATATACAAAATTATATACCCAAATATATATTTGTAACAATTTGTCTGATTTTGTTTTTAATGGGTAAGTCATTAATAACTGCAATATATAATTCTTTTACTATATGAAGAAGACTCTTAAAAAATGTAGAAATATTTATGAAACTAATTTGGTAGAGACAAATTTCTATACTTCGCGTTTGTTTCATTTTCTGAGTTGCAGAGCCAACGATAGGAAATAACTGGATTTGGACTTGGAACGATGATGGTTGATGACAATTCCTATTGAATCGTCGAATGATATTAAAATTTGTAAAAGTAAATATATCTCTTAGATACAGAGTATCATGTAATTAATGTATGCACTGAGAGAAAAATCCAGGTCTAAATAATCGGACAATTCGTTCGAAAATTAACAAACGGACAATCCGACACTTTCAATCGGAATAATTAAAAAGTCAATCAATTATCAATAATATCCTGCTATCATTGATTGGACATTATTCTAATCTTGATCGGTTTTTTATAATTCCAATTAAAAGTATCGGATTATCCAGTTATCCAGTCCAATTTTTGAGCGAATTGTCCGATTATTTATTTCTCTGAGTGTACAGAAATAACATGTACAATAATTATATTAGTAGTGTAATTCGTTGTATTAAACATAATTGTATCAGCATAAATCTTTAAACTCCATTTTTCTCACAATAGATACTACGTATTACTTCAACTAAAATGTCAGATCTTGACAAAGAGATCGAATCCTATAGATATATAAATATATCCTATAGATTTATCCTATAGATGTATCCTTGCATCATCTTTTTGCACACTTTAAATTTAATTCCAAAAATGTTCAAACTCTATAGTAATAAAATTATAGCGTTTTTTTCCGCCTCTCATATTTTTATCTTTTCTCGCACAGCTTCTTCTCCTCCTAAATCTCTGCGAGAGAAAAAATCGATCTTTCGACAAAGCGTATATCAGTGAAAAGTGGTGGTGGACGGTCCGAAGAGTTCAAGGTTTTTCTCTCTCTCTCTCTCTCTCTCTCTCTCTCTCTCTCTCTCTCTCTCT